CCAGGAGACGCCCACCCCGCCCCCGGCCGCCACCAGCGACCCCCCAGCCGAAGATATGCTGGTGGCCATCCGGCGCGGGGTGCGGCTCCGCAGGACCGTCACCAACGACAGGTCAGCGCCCCGCATCTTGTGATGGCGCCACCCTCTGGCCAAGTGTGAAGCAGGTGGCCTGGCTGTTGAGCAGCGGCCGCTCCTAGCGGAGGCGCAGCCAGGAGAAAGCAGAGCCAGGCAAGCTTTTTTTTTTTTTTTTCCCCAAAGCCGCACAAGGCAAAGCCACTTTATGAAAAGACATACCCAGCTTGGATTTCGACGTTTAAACAGGAAATGACTTCTCTATCAAACCTCGCTGCGACAGAGCCTGCAGGCCTCGAACTGGATTTGGAGCCCGTTTTATACTCTCCTTGCCTACTCTACCCCTCCTCTTTCTTCCTGCAGGCCCTGCCTTTCCCACAGTGAGCCCCAGAGCCTGCTCCTCCGCCCCCAGCGGAGGGCCATCCCACCCACCTCGCCCGGGCCCACAGTGCCACAGCTTAGCCAACCCGGCGGGGCTTCTCCCCAGGGTCAGCAGTGCCTCGGGCCTTTCCGCAATGCTGGCCCCTCCGCCCCTGACTGAGCTCCCTCTCCGCTCTCCCTTCTCCGCCTCTCCCAGTCCATCAGAGAGGCAGGGTGGCCGTGGAGGGGCCAGGTGCCCAATCAGCTAAGGTCACGGATTTGACTGAAAAGGTTTGCGGAGTGGCTGGCAGTTGTGGGGGCAGGTTGGGAGGTCTGTCCACCGTAGGGGACGGGGACCTAGGGCCCAAGTCGAGTCTCGGGGAGTAAATACAGGGGGCCTGCCTGAAGGAGGCCAAGGGGCACTGAGGTAGCCTCCATGTCCTGGCTTCCTCACCCCCGTGAGACATGGCTGAGGTTGGGGGCAGCCATGTCCTGGCTTCCCTGCCCCCATGAGATATGGCTGAGGTTGGAGGACACAGTGGGCCAGCAAGGAAGGAGTCCAGAGGCCTCAGGGGTCATGGAGCGGCCCTCCAGGAGCTGCTTTCAGATGTCTGGTCCTCATCTGGGCAGATCAAAACTAATTCTGGTGGCACTTTGCTCACGGTTTCAGCCACCTTTGGGGGTGGGGGCTGGAGCTGCAGAGGGTGTGGAGGGTTATTTTATGAATATAATAATAAAATGGAGCTGACTGGACAAGGACTATGTGGGGGGACAGGGTGGACGATACAGGGTGTGTCCGAGAGTGCCTGAGGGACAGGGGGCCCCACAGTGGTCGGGTGGGCCTATGGCAGGAGGAGGAGGGCCGAATCGGCCCCCCAAAATCCAGGGGGCAGCTGTTTTATCCAGCGTCTGGAGCGAAGCCAAATTAGAGTTGGAGATGGCCAGGGGGCAGGGCCTTCAGCCCATCTGAGGGTAGAGGGACCCCAGCCAGGCCAGGGGCAAGTCCAGGGAGATGGGCTTTGACTCTCTGTTGTCAGAGGAGATGCTGTCCCAAGACTCGGCCCTCACCCACACCCGCAGCTCCGCCCCCATCTGGTGGTGGAGGCAGGGGCGGGCAGGCTAGGGGCACCTCTCCCTCCATGCACCGAGTTGTGCCAATTTTAAGCAGGTAAAAGTAGGTGTGCCTCCAGCAAGCAGAGGGCCTCCTGAGGTCCTGCAGGCAGCAGAGAGCTGGGCTTGACGGGTGGCAGGGCCAGGGACAGGAGCTTCCTGGGGTCAGGAGAACAAGCTTTGCCTGGTCTGGACTTGACAGGCTTGGTCTGAGTCTCCCAGCACCAGCTGGAGATCCTGGTAATTCTTGTGCCAGAAGCTGGAACCCTGGCAATGCAGCCAGGCAAGGCTGGGGAACCAAGGATGCCCCCTAGTGGATGGAGCTCCCGGCTCCCCTATAGCAATGGAGAATGGTACCTGTAAGTCACTAGGTCTGAGAACGACCTTGCAGAGTGCTGCGGCCAACCCCAGAGCCCAGGTTTGGGCACCTGGGGTGTGGGGGCGGGTCTGGGTGAGGGAGGGCCCGAAGGGGCCGAGAGCACGTAGCCAGTGTGGGCAGCCCTCGGGTGGGGCTCACACTGCCCCTCCCCCAGGGCTGCATCAGCTTGGCCCAGGTGGGCCGATGGAGTAGGGTGCAGTAAGTGCGGCGTGAGCAGGGTAAGGAGCGGAGGGGACTGGGTGCGGCTAGGTCCTTGAGTCCTGGAGAGGAAGAGCTTGCCTCCTGGGGAGGGGGTGGCTTCGGAGACCCAGGGAGGGGTGGGGGCATAGCCATCCCCCCTGCTCGTCCCCCTCCCCCTCCGAGCCCCCCCAGGGCTGTACATAACTCCTCCACACCCCTTGACCACCTCTCATCCCTTTAGCGACCACCTCGTAGGCCCGCGCCCCCGCCCCGGGATCCGAGCCAACCATCCCGCATCACGGACTTTGGTTTGGGGGACTTCTTTACGTTCATTTTATTTTTCATTTTGTACAGAGGATTATTCTTTTCAAAGTCTTTTGACTGAAGTAACTTTTCTGGTGCTGTTGTTAACTTGTTCCTTCTTTTAATTTATTTCCCCGCCCCAGGCCTCCCCTCCTGGTTCTCTCTCTTCCCTTCATCCCCCTCCGTCCTCCCCCATCCCATCGGAACCATTTGGGTTTTTTTCTTTCTGTCAGTTTTTGGATAAATTATCCTCTTTGGTCCCCACCCCCATCCACCCCACCCTGCCCTCGATTTAAATAGTCACTGCTACAAGTAACAAATGCACTGTGAAGATCCCAGTATTAATAAAGTTGTACTGTAATTAACACCCCTGCCTCCGCCTGGCCTCCTCTGCTGCTGCTCACCTGCCGCCTGCACCCCGTTTCTCATCCAGATCCTAGACTGGGGTGGGGGCTCCCTGGGGGCCCCGGCCTCCTCCTGGCAGCACTGGGTCTTGTGCCAGGACCTAGGCTTTTGACGGCTTCAGCTCTGTCCATGCTGGGGGCTGTCAGGGCAGCCAGATGGAGGGCGGGAGGGTGGTGAGGACACTGCTGGGGATCAGCCCAACAACACTCTGCCCCACCGGGCACACCGAGGCCCTGCGCGCTAAGCCAGGGCTGAGGAGCTCAGTCCCTCAAATGTCCAGCATTTCGGCCCCCGGCCAGGCTCCATCCACTGCAAGTGAACCCTCAGACCCAGGCCCAGAGTGACCCGCCCGCCCCTCCTCCTGCACATTGCACTAGGGCCGGGGGGCGTGGGGGGGGCTCCCACCCCTCCAGGTTCACCCTCTCAGATGCAAACCAAACCGAACCAAAAGAAAGCGGGTGTTTAATAGAAAAAAAAAATAAAAGGAACCGGAAGAGCACCCACTGTGGCAAGATGCGGCGTTTGGCTCTGCCCCATCCCCCACCTCAGTGAGTCCTGTCCCCTCCAGGCCCACCAGCCCGCCCAGCACAGCTCTCGCTCTGCGCCCAGGAGACAGTTCGCACTGCCAGAAAGGGCCCAGCGCCCTGTCCTGTCCAGGGCAGGTGCCCCTCGGGCCCTGCCCTTCCAGGTGAGACCATGTGGGGTCTGGAGAGTGGGAGGAGGCTGAGCCCTCCTTGGGCACAGGATCCCTCTGAAAGGAAAAACACCCAAGGGAGGCTCATCGCCGCCGCCCAGCGCCATCTCAGGCCCAGGTGAACTCTGGGAGCCCCTCTTGTCGCCATAAAGGCCACTCCAGGCAGGCGGCCTCCTGTGCTCGCAGCAGCTTCACTGCCCCAGGGGGCCAGCCTCGGATCCCGGGGAGTGGGGCAGGGAGGCGGGGAGCTGCTGGGGCCGCGGGTGCAGCCGGGTGCTCGCACACTGCGACGAGGGCTCCGGGCTGCGGGGCTGAGGGCTTCGCACTTCACAGTCCTGCCAGTTTAGGACAGAGCTTTCCTTACCTGCAGGGAAGAGATAAAGAAAAGACTGCAGGAGTGGTCAACAGCCCCCTTGTCCCTAGACCAAGCCACATTGTTCTCGTCCCCATACCCAGGGCCCATCTCAGCTTCCAGAAATGCCACCCTGGGGAGCAGAGGGCATGCTCGGGAGGGAGCTGGCCTCTGACACTGACCTGGGTACAGACACCCAACCACCTGCCCCCTGCCCCCAGCCTCATCTCCTCAGAGCTCCTTACAGCAAGAGCAGTATAGCAGCTCCATGACCCGGAAGCAGTTGTCCAGCAGGGCTTTGGGCCGCACCAGCTTCAGGCTCAGCCCCGGGGCACTCAGGAGAGACAACACCGCTTCCACCTTGGGGCTCACCTCCACACCCTGGAAGGGAGCAAACTGTTAGAAGCACGGGCCACTGAAGAGACAGGGCCACATCCCGAGAGCCGTGGGGGCTGTCCCACCTGGAGCTGTACAAACCAAGAAGAAGGACAAGGCTTCCTGTGACTGGGAGGCCTGTGACCAATTTCTCTCCTTCTTCCTGCAGGTACCAAGTTTCCTGCGGGGTGGGTGGCTCGATGTTCCTCGCCCAAGCACTACACAGAGACTTCTCTTCCCACCATTTGAAAAATGACTGCAGGGGGCAGGCCAGGGAGGAGGCCATGGGGGAACCCCTGCTGCTCTAGCCAGAAATATGGGGATGAATCTGGGGAAGGACCTTCCTAAAAAATAAAGTGTACTGGGTTAAATTGTGTGTCCCTCCCAGTCTCCCTCCTAACTTCTGGTGCCTGAGAAAGTGACCTTTTGGGAAATGGGGTCTTTGTAAAACTAATTAAGAATCTCAGGATGACATCATCCTGGATGTAGGGTGGGCCCCTAATGCAATGACTAGTGTCCATCTAAGAGATGGACATGAGTCACAGAGGGAAAGGCCATGTGAAGGCGGAGGCGGAGGCTGGAGTGATGCTGCCATAAGCCAAGGAACACTAGCGGCCACGAGAAGCTGCAGGAGGCAGGAAGGACCCTCCCCTAGGGCCTGTGGAGGAAGCGTGGCCCTTGACTATGAGCTTCTGGTCTCCAGAACGGTGATCGAATCATTTCTGTTGTTTTAAGCCACCAGTTAGTGGTGATTCGTTATAGCAGCCCTAAAAAATAAAACTAAGACACAAAGGCTCAGAGAGAGGAGGAGAAAGGGGGCCCATCCCCATGGCCCGCTGCCCGACAGATGCTGGGCATATTCAGGGCAGGTCATAGGCCACTAACATCGTTAGAACAGATTTAAAAGCTAGTTAAATCTGAACAGCCCAGGTGGGTAGAGCCTTAGCCCGGCCCACAACGTCCTTCCCCGCCCTCAAACCAGCCCCTGGGAGTTCTCAGAGCCAGAGACGCCCTCAAGGAAAATCGAGGATGGAAAACTGTCACTTCCCCAAGACTGCTCCATCACCCGCCCGGCTCAGAGGTACAAATAAGCCACCAAGGAAAACACTGGGGCTCCTGACCTCTGCCAGAATTTCAAGAGCCTCCCCAGAGTTTGAGGCAGCTGCAAAAGCAGTCGCTAGCGCCTAAGATGGATGTCATCAGAAGCTCACAGGTGCTCTCAGGTGTTCTGGCTGGGAAGCAGGTGGGGGCAGGCAGGTCCTAAGGAGGGCTGGGGGAGGGCGGGGAGCAGAGTAACACGGGTATTGGGAGGGGTCCCACGGCACACGCATGGCCTGCACAGGCACACACTCGCCAGTCACCTTACTATTCAGGGTTTTTGGAGGACATAGCCTGAGGCCTCAGACCAACCCTCCCAAGCAGGCAAGTATCAGAAACCTCTTATTAATTGAGTTCCTGAACTCTAATCCTAAATATAGTTTATTATTATTATTATTATTATTATTATTATTAATTGAAGTCCATAGCTCACACTAAGGTTCGCTCTTTGTGTCGTCCAGTTCTATGGGCTTTGACATAGGCATAGTGTCATGTATTCACCGTTACAGTATCATGCAGAAGGATTTCATCATCCTAAAACCTCCCGTGCGCCTCTACTCACCCCTCCTCCCTCTCTCCCAAAGGAACCTCTTTCCTTAGCTGCAGAAATAAAGCCACAGGGTTCAATGACTTGCCCAGGATCATAGAGTGACAGAGACAGAGTCTGGAGCAGGGTCTCGGGCACATCTCGTGCCCCCCAACCCAGCCCACCTTCCGGTCATCCCTGTCCATCTCCTCCTCTCTCTCATTTCTTCCACACCCTCAGGATATGCCGGACTTTTCCAGGTGTTCACGTCCTCCCTCAACAGCCCTTGGCCACATACACACACACACACACACACACCCTGCCCACCCACACCTCTGCCCCACTCACCATGAGGCCTTGCTGGACATCTACCAGCAGTGTATGCACATCCTCCAGGTATTTCCAGGACGGGTGGCTCTCAAGCAGCACCTCCTGCACCAACTCAGTGGCACTGAGACTCACCCAGACCCACAGATACCGCAGCTCCTGTTGGCTAACCCGGGCCCTTTGCTGTGGGGACAGGAGAAATCACTGAAAGCTCCCACATGGGCCTCTGGGCCTCCTCCCACCGCTCTGACCACCCCCACACCCACTTGCCCCAGAGGGAGCTGACCCCAGGCAAGCACTGTGAACAGCAGGCAACCTCGGACCTAGGCCAAGGGCAGGCTTGTTTGAGGGGCCAGGAAAGGCCCCTGGCAACAGGACCTGCCAAATCAATGTGGCTCTCAAGAGAGGCCCACGGGATGTCCCAGGAGGCAGGGTGTCCCCCTAGCCCAGGAGGGGATTCTCACCAGCCTGGTGATGTTGGCCGCTCTGAGCACCCCCTCATAAGGCACGCTGACCCTGTAGTTGATGGGGAAATAGTGTTTCTGGAGAGGTAAAGAACAAACCGTGAGATCAGAGTCAGAAATGGCTCAGACAGGTGGCTCCCCCAAACCCCCAGATGATCTGCTGTAGAAGGAGGGGACCCAGGCTTAGCCCTACAGATGGCAGAGGTGGCGTCTACAGAGAATATGCACTCGGCTCCCCACTGGGATGAGACAGCTCTCTTTCCTCTGGGACAAAGGGAAGCCTAAAATAAAACACCTAGTTGCTGTTAAGGCAGAAGTTCCAGCCAGGAAACAGTACGAGGGACATGCTACCCCGAGAGAAACAGATTCTTTGGGGGTGAGGAAGAGTAAAAGATTGCTCTAAAACTTAGGTGATGGTTGCGGAATTCTGCAAGTGTACTAAAAACCATTGAGCGTACAGTTAAATGAGTGAATTGTGTGGTATATGAATCATATCTCAATAAAGCTGTTTTTTAAAAAAAGACACATAGAGTCATGTGCCACGTGGGTGTCTCCACCCTTCCAAAAGAACCTGTGTTCCAATTTCTAGGTCCTTAACTCGTCGACCAATATGGAGTATCTGAGGTTCCCTAAGGTTTCCTGGAGTCCATTCCTGAGTCCCAGGGTGAATGCCACGTGGAGGTGAGGTCAAAGGTCAGACCGAGTTGGGGGAGGGGGGAGGGGAGTTG